GCCCAATCGGAACATGCCTTCACGTGCCGAAAGTGCCCCGAAGTTTGCAAAAATTACCATTTTAAGGAAAGTACGATATTTTTCTGTTTTGTCTTACGACTAATTGTATATAAAGCTATAAGTCCCCCATCAGATAAAAGGTAATTTTATTGTATTTAAAGTAAATTATAATACATTTTCTTTAAAAATGTACGGTTTCGAAGATACTTAACATTTAATGGTACAGGCACCTTTCTGGTAAGGTTTATGGAGTACATACATATTACGATTTAAATATTTCGTATTTTTTTGTTTTCAGTTTATTGTTTGTTAAATCTTGGTAAGCTTGGATTTTTTTTTTGATGACTTTTGTAAGTAAGCCACTGAATGATTTTCATTTATGACTTTTATAAATAAAAGTCTTCAGTAACTGTAACATATAATACAAAAATTTAAAGTAACATTTATTTTTAGATTATTTAGTTACAAATCAAAAATCAGACGTAACTGTTATTTAAGGAATAATCCAATAAAAGTAAAAAAAATAATTGTTAAATAGCGACTTTTATAATAAAAGTTGTAACCAAGATACAATAATTTTTAGAAGGTAGTTTAACTTCTTCTTATCCGCCATGTTAGCTATCTGACAGAAAACGTGTTTCGTATTTTTGGTTGTACCCACTTAAAAAAAAAAAGTCTAGCTTTTAACGTTGGAAAAATAAAACAAAGGAAAGTCAAACATATAAATACATAAGTATACAATTTTCTAATATTTTTTTAATAATTTGCTTCATAAAAAATTATGAAAAAATTAACTGCTGCTTCCGTGGATATTGCAACACACGCAATAGATGTAAGGATACAGCATGTATAAGAGCCACCGCGTACCACAGACTTTATCGGCCGCATATTTAAATAGTAGGGCTCGCTTAAATATGTACATGAAGATGTATGGAGGTGCGCACACTACACCAAATTAATCGTGGGGCCGATTAAATCCGGTGTGCGAAGGATCTAAAACATTTTAAACAAGAAATATTGCCGTGATGTATTGTGGAACGATTTTCCGTCATCCCTTGTTAAATTTGGTTTGGAGACAAACCGGTTTTGGCGTTGTGCCATGTTCAGTGTCATTTTTCGTTGTCTCCAAACCAAATTTGACAAGGGATGACGGAAAATCGTTCCACAATACATCATACTCCTACCCTGTCGGAAACACAAACAACCAAAAAGAAAATATTGCCGTCATATTTTCGTTTTTATGATTTTTATTCATGTGATTAGCAGTGGCAAGAATGTATGTTTTAATTACGTATATGTATATTAAAAATGAAGTGATCAGTTACGAAATATATAAATCTTTACATGTTCTATTAAAAATATCTAAAATAACAAGCGAAAATCCCCAAGTTTTATATCGTAGTACTGGCCATATTGCGTGTTTTTGAAGTGAAAGTACCTTATAAAAATTATTGTATCATGGTTGCAACTGTTACGGCGCCTGAGTGAAACTGTTTCAGGATGTCTCTTTTAAAAAGTTTGTTTCGGATCAAAGCCTGTCCCTTTTCGAATATTTTAAAGTCAAAACTGAGGGTAGTTAACGACACGGCTGAAAGGGAGCTTAAGCCAATTCGAAACACGGACAAACGATGAGGAGAAAAACCAGTCCTCCTTCAGGTGGTAACGGATTGTCGGGGGATTTACCCTGACATTTCCAAGAGTACTCGTTGTTTACCCTTGTCTAATGGGGGATATTGAAAATATTAGTAGATATTAGTAAAATATATATATGTTTTTACAATGTGAAATTTCCTTTCGATAAGTCTTTGTTCAGAAATGAATTGTGTCATTTGTCGTATTTTTTGTTAAATAATGTACCTTTCATGTAAAAAACTTAAAAAATATACTAAAAAATTTTTATTAATACACTATATTCCATTTAGCTGCATTAACTTTCACTGTTTGTTTGGTGCAGTTAAGCGAAATGTGCAGCAAAACGGAAAAATTAAAAACTGTTTGTTTTATTTTAGATTTAAAATTTGTTTCAATATATGGGGCGTTCCATACCAAAACGGTTCACACTTCATGTGTTTGATTTGTTTCAAATTTTTAGGGTTGACGAATAAACATAAATAATAAACAAATATGAAATTTGAGCTTGGTTAATACATTTTTAAAAACTTAACACCAAAAAAACCAAAAAAAAATCGATTTAATAGTGGAGTAGCGAGGAAAAAATTTGAAAAAAATTACACATACACACATCAAAATTCTATATGAAAATAAATATTAAAAACCTTTTTTTTCTTGAACAATTTTTCACATACTTATTTTTTGATAAAAAAATTAGTTTTTGAAAATATGCCATCTCAAACAAAATTGAAAAAATCACAGTGGCAGCTCTGAGTATTGGGCAATATTTAAGTATAGTATTATGGGGTGCACTCTACAATAATTTGAGTTATGCATTTTTTTTACACCGAAGTTTTTGGAATGTTTTTTTGAGTATGCAGTTTTGTAGCCCATTAAATTTTAGTATAATAAAGTGCAAGTTTTAAGCGATTGCCAAACCGGCGTTAATTTTGTTTTTAATTTTCTTTGAAAACGGTTTTGCGCATTTTCTTCCATAAGAAAAAAGTGCAAACAGCCGTCAGCAAAAAAATTAAAAAAATCAGCGCAATTTTGCAGTAGCTTAAAACTTGCACTTTATTACACTAAAATTTAATGGTCTACAGAACTGCATAGTGAAAAAATTTCAAAAAATTAATTTAAAATTTGTAAACTTGTTATGTACCCCGGTGTAAAAAAATTCAGACCTCAAATTATTGTAGAGTGCACCCCATAATACTATACTTAAATATTGCCCAATCCTCAGAGCTACCATTGTGATTTTTATAAATTTTTTTTAAATGGCATATTTTCAATAACTATTTCTTTTTATCAAAAAATCTGTGTTCGTATGGAAAAGTAGCTTATGTCGAGAGGCTGGCTTTAGTATAATGCGGCATTCCCTTTATTCTTTAAACGACAAGGATTTTTTTTATGAGACTTAATAAGAATATTGACTTGCTAGTATCGGAACTATTTCTTGCACGTTTATTCGTCAAAAGTTGTTCAACGGCTTAGCGCCAGTGAGTCGTTCGCAATCGTATGCTGCGAATGCCGATTTATACTAAAGCCAGCCTTTCGACATAAGCTACTTTTCCATACGAACACAGAAATGATTATGTGAAAAAATTTTCAAGAAGAAAAAATTTTAATAATATTTAGTTTCATAGGCAATTTTGATGTGTGTATGTGTTATTTTTTTCCAAATTTTTTCCTCGCCCCGGTCTCGAGATATTTGGAAAACTATTAAAACAATTTGTTTTTGGTTTTTGTGCTGAAAAGTTTTTAAAAATGTATTAATCAAGCTCAAATTTATTATTTATGTTTATGTTATGTTTAAAAATTTGAAACAAATCAAACACATGAAGTGTGAACCCCGTCCGTTTTAGTATGGAACACCCCATATACTGTTTTTCATAAATTTTTTTTTTTATGTAGGTATTTAATGCGAATAAGGCCTCTTTAACACTAGTCGCTTCAGGGACATCATTATATTCTTCTGGGCTTTCATCGGTTCGCAAAAAGAGTGATATAAGAAAACTTACTCAAAAACAGGACTGTTAAACGGAAATGGGTTCCAAAGCGGAAAATTTCGACCGAAATCCATTTTATGAAGCAGTATTTTGGGAAAATTGTGCACGTAAGCGGAAAATGCACCAAAGCGAATAGGCAGCTAAACGGAATATACTGTAATTTGTTGTTCTATTTTTATTAATGAAATCTATTCAATATGTCTATTGCTTACATTTGAGGTTTGGATATTTTGAAATAATCTGGGGAGTCTTGCTATAAAGTGCCATACTAGAGCCAATTTTACCCATTAAATATTAAATATCTTCGAAAACGTACATTTTTGTATGTATTGAAGAAAATGTATTGACTTGAAAGTCAACAAAATTATCTTTAATCTGATGGTAAATTTATAGCTTTAGGTAGAATCAGTCATAAGTTAAAGCAGAAGAATGCCCTATTTTCTCGAAAAGTTTTCATTTTTTTAAATTTCAGGGCACTTACGGCACTAGAAGGCATGTTCCGATTGGGCCCAAACTTTAAAAATTCTATTTATACACTAAATGGCACATTTTTAGAAGTAAGAACTTACAAATTTCAGGAATTTATGAGATTGAGAACGAAAAACGTGGAGCGCATGCAATACAAAGCATTCGATTTAATTGACAATAGTGAAACTACATAAAATAGACCTAAAATTTCTACAAGTACAAATTTGAGATCGATTTTAAGCGGCCGTTATTCATTTACCCACATAAATACATGTATTACTCTTCATATCAATTCAGGTCTATTACATGCGCCCCACGCTTTTGATTTTCAATCTCATAAATTGTTTATAATGACTTTTGCTAAAATTTCAAAATCAAAAGTTATCAAAACAAATTCTATGGGACTGAGAAATATTATTTTCTAATTTTTAGTCCATTTATAAAAGCGTGGTATATTAAAAAGTTCAATTTATTTTATTTATTTTCTACTTTTTAGTCTTGTCTATATAAAATTTTGCAATAGATATTAAAATAATTCATCTTGCAGGGAAAAGAGAACCTATGCAAGCAAAATATTGTGTGCTCACGTTTGGTATATACATACCTATGTACATACATACATACAGCAGAAATTAATTTCATTTAGAGAAATGGCGTGTCGTCCATTTCCGCTGTAGCATATGTAGTGCATATTTTTAGGCGCAATATTTAACTTCTTCGGGCGGGGCGAAATCTACCTCTAGAGCTTTTCTAATTGTATGTCTTTGATATTATACCTACGACGAGGTTGATATCTAGACTATGCTATATTTATAGTATAAATGGTGGTCTGGACACACAACATTGTAAGTTGATAAAAGCGTTGTAATAAAACGCGTGCATAGTTTCTGAACAAAATCCGTAGAGACTCACTTTGTTCCGAAATAGATGTAGTTTGACAATTGGTTTATGATGGTTGTGTAGTAGCGGGCGGCGGTACCAATAACTCCAAGTAGCAGAAGGGTGAATAGTCCTTTTCGTGGCCATTTCCATAGACCTAGTATCATTATTGGCGCCACTGCGAAGAGTTCAGTGTCAATGCCTAGATGATGTGTATGTGTAAGACACTGTCAAAGAGAATACGTATGATATTCAGTGGAATTTTATTAAAGTCTGGTTACCACGTATTAATTAAATTGTTCGAAAACTTTATTTGTTCTATCATCGCATATCAGCGCTCTGGATTACTTAACCTCTAAGCTCAACTATAATCACTCTATGTGCATGGGAGACCTAACCGCAGGCAAGGATAAAATGATACGAAACTCTTTTTATCGTGAAAGAAAGTCCAGCGAAATATATATGGGGAGATTTTGGTGATTTTTTCTATTTGAAAAACAAGCAAACCTTTTTGAATTTTATTATCTTCTTTATTATTTAGTGTTGAAAATTGCCGTTTAAAATATTTTCTCTTAAAACCACTATCTTTAAGCAAGAGTTTTGTTATGTGGTTGGAGGAAATCCATTGAAATTAAATCGATGCATATTGTGCGTATCTAAATAGTGGCAGCTCGCTCTTTTGCGTTATCTGCTGTTCATTCCAGATTTATTAGGCAGTGCTGCCAAGTCAAAAACGAGATTACGTTAGATTCTCGGAAGAAAAATGAGAGTGTTTCGTATCATATTATCCTTGCCGTGAGCGGAAGATCATTGTACATATGTATTTAAGTTTGTAAACTTACCATTTCATTGAATCCGAAGTAGTTGTGTATGAAAAGTAAATTGCGCCACCAGTTGCGTTTACAAATATCTGCATGATGCCCAACCACTAAGTTCCATTGTGGCCCCGATCCCCACAAGGGTAGCACAAAAGTACAGAAGAGTATGAGAGCGGCTAGTGGAGGTACGATACTGCATGGGAAAATAATATTTTTAGAAAATATTTATACATAATTGCAGAGCATTTTTTTGTACTGATTCACTGCCGATTCTGAGTTAACTTCGCACTGTGAATTCGGCCCTAATTCTTTTATGTGCATAAATTTAGGAGTCCCTGATTAATTCCCTAGCGAATAGTTCCATAGTCAATGTAATTGAGGAAAGTTTTTGTTGCCATTCCTTAGAAGGTTATGAAGGTGTTATAAGTACACGGGTAAAAATTTCGGTTTTAATTTTAAACTATTGGACTACATATATGTACAAACTAAATTTAGTATCAAATACAAACCTTCCAAGTTTAAAAAAAAGAGAGAGCAAATATCGACGGCTGAGTGGAAGATCGACCTATCTCGGCAGCCAGTTCGAAAACGCCCTATTTCAAAAGACTTCTCAGTACATTTTCAATACATTTTGAAGTGACATAGGACGTTCTTCAACCAAATTTTGAGATAGGGCCTTTTTAAATAAAATTCTGAAATAAGGCGTTCTTGAAAAGTTTTATGAAATAGGGCGTTTTCGAACTGGCTGCCGAGATAGGCCACTCAGCAGTCGATGTGTTGGGTTTAGAATTTAAACAGTTCGGTTTAAATTTTAAGCCCAAACATTTTCTACTTCGTTTGCTTCACGTTACAATTCACGAAAGCTTTTACATGGTCCGTCTGATGGGGATTGAACCCGGACAGCCTTAGTAGCAACCAATTGTATCAAGCATCTTTGCACACTCAGCTACAGCCATGCATGTAAATTTGCTTTCATATGTTGAGTTTGAATCAACACCACATTTCGCTGCGTTGATGCCGACAGTTCATAAGATTTGCTCTCTCTGTGAGAGACACCCTTATGCCTAAGTCTTATAGATCATATAAAATAAGGAATATTGAGGCAAACATTTTCTATTTCGGTTTAGATTTTAAACAAAATTTTCTATATATGAAACCTAGAAACTAGAACTAAAACATTTCAGTTTGATTTTTAAACAAATAGGGCCTATACTTGAAACCATGACCTTTTTGGTTTTAATTTTAAACCACTCATAGCAAAACATCATTTTCTCGGCTGCTTGGACTAAAATTTAAACCAGAATATATTAAAAATTGCTTAAAACTATTGACTGGTTTAAGAAGTAGACTACGGAAGATTAAAAAAGGCAGCAGTCCCAGCTCGGTTTAAAAATTAAACCCAAATTTTTGGCCGTGTACGGAAGTATAAGTATACAAATATTCTTGGTGATATTCAACGTTTTCGAGCTTAAAAATTCCTCTCAGTTAGAAGGTTTTGTATGCTATACACAGCCTAAGAGAAACTTCGTATACCGTTATCTTGAAAATTAGAGTTACCCCCATAAATGACGTCCCCATTGAATGAAGAATGCCCCAATTAAGTCAGGTCATAACTATCAAAACCATTTTCCAAATTATGAACTGATATACATATGTGTTATTAAGTACTATAGTAGTTGGGATAGGTACTTAAGGGATTTCTTTTTCAAGCATCAAAACAGTGCATTTTGAGTACAACTGCAGACCTACTGTAAAAAGTCTTGCAAACAGTTAGGATCAGTATTTGACATATATGAAGACCCTGTTACTGATTTCAGCCAAACAGGCATAACAAAATATAACCTGTTTATAAAAAATGTTAGTTTTCGGTTTAAAATCGACTATGTAGACGGGCTATCCACGAAAAATTCGCAAATAAAAGAGCTTAGGTTTACTTTTACTTCAGTTACTAGTTTCTTATGAATTTTAGTAGTTTCTATAGTTTAGCGATTTTATTTGCCTCATTAACACACATTTGCTTTCGATTGTTCTTTAATTTTGTTCTTTACACTATTCAATATTTACATTGCAAATGCTCTTAAAAGTAGGGACCGAAAATAATCGTTATCATGAAGGATTTTCATTTAAAAATCATTGTATAATCGTTATTTTTCGATCATTATTATTTATTATGTTATTTTTAATCGTTATTTTATGATTTTTATTTTTTCGATAAAAAATAATCGTTATTCTTTGATTTTTATTTTTTAAATCATTTTCAATCATTATTCTTTGATTTTTATATTTAGATAATTTTCAATCGTTATTCTTTGATTTTTATTTTTTAGATCATTTCCAATCGTTATTTTACGATTTTTTTTCGATCAAAAATAATCGTTATTCTTTGATTTTTATTTTTTCGATCATTTTTCATCGTTATTTTATGATATTTATTTTTTCGAATATATTTTCAGGGTTAATCTTGTCTGATCCTAGAAAACCAAAAAAGCTTGTACATAGTGTTGACAATTAAAGCAACAAGCGTTGACCTAAGATAACCTCAAGAACACAAAAAAAGATCAGCAGGAAAATGAAAACAAAAATTCTTTGATTCATTGAGGGTGATTGCATTATTGATACCAGTGATGGGCAAAATTTTATTTACTATAAATTAAGTGCTAAGTATTGTAGTAACTATGTATCAACGTGCTATTAACTTAAGTATTTTGGATGTTACTAAAAACCGAATAAAACTAAGAATAACTGTTATTTTTGATCGAAAAAATAAAAATCATAATATAACGATTAAAGATGATCGAAAAAATAAAAAACATAAATCATAAAATAACGATTAAAGATGACCAAAAAAATAAAAATCACATAATAACGATTAAAAATGATCGAAAAAATAAAAATCATAAAATAACGATTAAAGATGATCAAAAAAATAAAAATCACAAAATAACGATTAAAGATGATCAAAAAAAAATCATAAAATAACGATAAAAAATGATTAAAAAATAAAAATCACAAAATAACGATTAATTTATGAGTTTTATTATAAAAATCATAGCGATTACGGTCCCTGCTTAAAAGTGAATCTGTCGAACAGGAAAAAGTTAGTTGAGCATAATAAAACGAAAAAACACTAAAAAATTCATGATATTTGCCAATATGTAGTAGAACGTTCTATGCCCTAAAGCGGGTGTGATCGCTGAAGCAAAAGAAAGAAAATGACAAACTAAACTCACCGCATTAATCGGCTAATATATTCATTTCGCAGACGTATCGGCTGGCCTTTGAACAGGCGACCGAAAAGTGAGTAAGCAGTAAGCATGCCACTAAAAAGTAGAAATGGGTCGGTATAAAGCGATGCGGCGCGTCCAATAACTGTCCAAGGGCGACCCAAACTCTGTAACAACAACATGTGATTACAAAACAATGTTTAAATATTTATAAGGTGAGCTATATATATATGTACACACCTCAGACATTTCAGTTCTATTATTGTAAGGATTGAAAAACATAGCCATTGATTTATGAGAGAAGAGCAACATAACTGCATTCAAAAATCGTATGCCATGCACCGCTTCAATATCGTTGGGAGAGTAGTTTGTGCTGAAGAGCCAACGAAGATTTTTATCCAGCGAAAAGGCAGTACACCATTCATCTGTTAAAAGATCATTTGTTAAAATATCGATTATTAAAGGAAAAAAAAAACAAATCGTGTTACTTGGTTTTTGGCCAGGTTTAGTACAGCGTTCATAGATAGTGGATAGCACGGACACGGAAAGAATAATGAGAAAAAAGCGGCTGAAATAAAGAAAGTACTTGAAATGAGAAGAGTCTTAAGAAAGAGCTAGTGTCGCATTGCGCTTCTACTTACACGGCCCATGTTGTGTTACGATCCCACGTCTTATTGTCGCGCACCTGACACAATTTCGGCTCAACGCGCACTTGAAACGAAATGCCCGTGGAGCTGGTCATATTATTCAAATAGTCCTGCACAGTATATTCCACATCTTGATAGGTGCAAGCATTGGGCACACAAATTCCCCAATTGATCAGCGAGTAGCGGGGCACGCGATGACCCGGCTGCGAAAGAGGTGATTTGGTAATGAATTTAGGAATAATATAAATATAAATACTATAGAATACAGAACGCAATAGTACTAAACTACGGCAGGGAGGCAACACGAGATCGTAGTCAGCTGTTAACAAATGTATTTCCAATTCTAACATGGTGTTTACTAAGTGACGTTGATCCTTTTTACCAGTTATTTCCGTGGTTTAGGCTTAAAGAAAATTATATTTAGCCGCTTAATAAGATTTACGTTTTATCTGAGTAATAAGTCATTAGTCATTAAGTCAAACGTGATTCGCCCTCATCAAAAATTTTGTCCTTCTCTGTCCTACTTTTGAGCAAAAATTTCCTCCTTTTCAAGTTTTATAGCAGTGATGAAATTTTTAAAAAATTTTTAGAAAATGTGTTATTTCACATCCAAGTACATAATAAAAAATAACACAGGCCTGTGTGGTTTTCCCCTTAAAAAAAACTAATTAGCGATTTGGGTACGTATAGAGGCATTTCATGTCACCGCGGCTACCTCTGTGCACGACTAGTGATAGAACGATACGAGTACCGAGTACAGAATATCAATACTTTTCATGAGTACTGAGTAGTATCGTGAACTCGATACTTTTTCACAAGTACTGAGTAAATATCGCGAATGCCGAAAAGTATCGACGAGTTAAGAACTTTTTTAAGTAATTTTTTTTTTTAAATTACCTAATAAATATTGTGGCGAACGTTCGAATATTAACTTCAATATCCAATAGGAATGTTATGAAAACGAACATAGAGCTCATTTACTTCAATACTGTCATAACTCAAAAAACCGAAACCCCGAGAAACCCGCCTTTAAAGTTTTTAATTCACATATCGGTACCCCCATGCCAGAAGCATGAACGTGCAAATTTATCTGTTTGGAGTTATTGGGTTGACTTGGTTAATCTTTGGATTTTCTTTGTTATACCAAAACCCAGAATACCATGCGTACACGGAAAGTAAATATTTTACAATTTTAATTGCATAAATGTAGAGCTAAGTCTCGCAAAAAAACTTTCAAACTTGATTTCCCAAAAGTTTTATTTTTACACATTCATGTTTATGGCATACGGGCGACGATATGTATACTCTAGGGATGTTAATTTTTTAGATTTTTACGATCCCGGGATTTTCGGGATGTCGTTGGTTCAACCCGGGATCAGTCCCGGGATTTAGATATTTATTATTTTCCAACGACTCAACATGAAAAAATTGCATCAATATGGTTTGAGTAGCTCTCCTAATATAAATAATAAGTAAATGGGTTTGGAACGTACTTTTTTATTTAAAGTGAAAATTATTTCATAAGTAACAAAACGAAAGACAGTAATTAAATTTATATACATTTAATAATACCTTAGTGTGTTTGTATCTCGATGCAAAAAAAAAATTAAGTAAAAAAATTTATTTTCTGGTTGAAAGAACTTCATAACACTAGTGGCAGAAATCAAAGAAGCGCCTTAATTATACCAGTTTTGTCTATATTCCTTTTGTTTATCTAAAATTCAATTTTTTTTTATAAAAGTCTACCTCACATTACACATAATTAACTGCATATAAATGGGCATTTCTCTGACGTCATGATTTTTTTAAAAAGACTTTATTGAGCCCTCACCGCCAAAATAACGTAAGCGACATTTTTTTCAAAATTTTCTTTTTGATGCAGAAATATTCCTAGAGCATCTAGATGCATTTCTGCATAAAAACGAATATTTTGAAAAAAAATGTCGGTTACGTTATAATTTCAAAGAATGGTTAATTTCAAAATTTATTTAAAAAAATTCAGTGCAATGTAAAACAAAAATATGGGTACCAAATGAAATAATTTCTTTGCGTTCATAAGGCCGAATAGGAATTGAAAATGCCCCTTTAATCTATTTTATATTTTTAAGCTAATAAAGTTAGTCCTTAACATAAAATTTTTTCAAAAATAAGAATTGAAAAATTTCAAGAATATTCAAGGATAAAGTTATAAAATCAATACCCACCCGTCCCTTACGGACCAAAAAATATATTGTGTTCTAACTTTACATAATCTTCTCTTTCATTTGATACCCATACTGTTTTTTTAAGTATATTGCACTGAAATTATTAAATAATTTTTTGAATTACTCATATCTTTCAAATTTCAAAGTTCTTTTAAAAAATCCTGACGCCAGAGAGAAAAATTAAGAACGCAATTTTACTAAAAATCCTGACGGCAGAGAGAAAAATTAAGAACGCAATTTTACTATATTTGGCCTTGGTTTGGCGAATATAATGATTTTTTTTGTGCAAAATTGCCTGCCGCAAGGTATTATATGTATATTGAGCTACACATTTATAAAAAAAATGTTAAATATTAAATAAACAAAAGAAATATAGGCAAAACTGGTCAACATAAAGCGTTTCTATTATTGCCACCAATATAAATTACAAATCCCGAAAATCTCGGGATTCTAGGCAAATAATCCCGTGATTTTCGGGACTTAAAAAATACCGGGATCCCGGGATTAACATTCCTAGTATACTCCCATACTAATAATTAATACATGTTTTGTTTTAGTGAGCTACAGGTAATTGCCACAGTTATGAAATTTTTACACAATCTGTAGCGGTCATTGCAACATTGGCTTCGGGTAAAAATGTTTAAATAATTGAAAAACGAATATCTTGCCTCCCCTTTGATAATGAATGGTGGAAGAGGATGATCTTCCGACTCGACAACTTGGCTACTCTCCAGCATAAGGCACCCCATGTATTCTACCTTCGCTGTGAAATCCAGCCCATTCTTGAAGACAATTTTTATGAAAGAGAGCTTATCTTTCCAATAGACAATGGGCTTCACCACATTTGCTTCTCGTTCTCTACATTTGCATTTCATTTTCAAAGTAAAGTTATTTATAAATACATGTACGCGTCAAACAATTACATATAAAATATTTGCCTTTAAAAACTTGGAAATAAGCTTTTTGCTATAAACATTTGATTTACGCATGTAAAACTAATTTATCGGAAGTTTATTCCAAAACTGCCTTTGGATCAGATAAAAACTATTAAGAGCAGTAACTATTCAATTTACAAATAGGAAGAGGTTGAAAAACCAAAGCAATCTGATTTTTGTTTACTTTTGCGTTTGCTCTGAGAATACTTGGAAGTACGAGTATTATCGATACTTTTTTGCAAACATGAGTACTGGCATCGATACTTTTTTAGGGTATTCTATATGAGTACTAGTATCGATACTTTTCTAAAAAGTTCTATCACTATGCACGACCTCTAAGGATTTGGTTGAAAGTTAACATTGACAAATACATAGTTTAGGAAGAGCCTGCCTGAAACTATACAATAAAGGAAATAAGCAAATGGATGTATAGGATTGACAACAACAACCACGCTGTCAAGTTTAAATAGCGACAAAGCAGCTGCACTTGATAGTAGTTGGTTGAATAAGGAAAATGAATTAGCAACAAGAGTTTACGGGGTGTACATAGCTCAGTGGTTAACGCTTCTGACTTTGCACATCGATTACGCAGGTTCGATCCCTGCTGAAGCCTAGAAAAAGAAGTCTGATGAGGAGATGGGGTGATCTCCGAAATACATACATAGCTGCTATAACTTCTACCGCTTAGACTTTGTTGCTTTTTCAATTTTTCCTAATAAACAATCGTATATAAAGCTCAAAAAAAAAAAAGTTGAAGAGATTGAAGGTCAAGGTGACATGAATTTACGTGCAGCATATTTTGCCGATATGACGTAGGGTTGCCTATTTACACGGGGCTTAAATTTTAAGAAAACGTCAGACATAATAAGTAATATAATAATAGATTGGCGCTTACACATATATTAGTGTTTGGTCGAGCTTTTCCTCCGACTTATGGCGTGCGCCTTGATGTTGTCACACAAAGCGGAGGGACCTACATTTTTACGCCGACTCCGAACGGCGATTGCATTTTTATGAGAAGCTGTTTTTCATGGCAGAAATACACTCAGAGGTCAAACATACCTTTCTTTAAAGTGCTGTATCTTGGAAACCTTTTAACGAAACTTAATGAAAACAAGTAAAAAGCCTAAGTTCGGGTGGAACCGAGCATTAGATACCCGGCGCAGTCATTAAACATAGTTTTTTTTTCACCTTTCCGAAAACTACCGCTACGTGGTAAGCAGGGGTGGTTTTATCCCTATTTCAAACATCTTCGATAAACTTATATAGTTATATGTGGGCAGTATCACGTCCACTTTCCAAAATTCTATAATAATGTTACTTCTTTTCAAGGGATTGTTGTTTGTATCAATTTTGAGTAAATAAGCGTCCTTAAATTTCGAAATATGGAAGTATCGAAGTTTCAAGCATTTCGGAAATTTACCGTTATATGAAAAATGGCCGTAATTTTAGTCCGATTTCAATAATTTTCAATGTTTTGCTTTTAAGTGGCAAGTACAATAATCATTCCGAGTTTGGTAGAAATTGACATATGTGATCATAGAGGGCGGTGCCACGTCCATTTTCCAAAATTTTATCATAGACGTATTTTTTGCTAAAGAGTTATTGCAAACATCAATTTAGAATAAATCAGCTATAGTATTTACTGGGTTATCCAAAATTTCGTATTTCTCAAATAACCGTTACATGGGACGTCCGATTTTAAAAATTTTCAGCTGTTTGGTATGTGGTACTAAGGCCAACAACCCTGCCAAGTTTGGGAGAAATTGGTCGAGCGGTTACTGAGATATACACCTGTAATCATAAATTGGCATGGCTACGCCCATTTTCCAAAAATTTATAATATTCCTATTTACGCCTAAAAATCATTGTAAATATCAATTTTCAGTGAAAGAGTTTCAGTAGTTACTAAAATATCGCCATTTTCCTATTACGGTTACGGTCCGATTTCGCCCATTTTCAATAGCAACATACCTTGGGCAAAGGGCATTCTATCACGGTTGCCAACTTGGTGTTTTTCGCACTAAATTTAGTGCTTTTCTTTATTCAAAACGCGAAAATTTTAGAGTTTAGAGCTTGGTGCGTTTTTTGGTGCTTTTGTTTTTAGTTTGAAGACACCAAATCTGTAAATCTTATCAAAAGGAGGGGCAAAATGTATAGCAATCGTAAGTTTTTTAAGCAACTTTACAAAAATCTAAATAAAAACATGTCACAATGACAATCATA